TTTACCAGTTCTTTCAAATTTTCTAGGCGATGTTGACTTCTCTCACTTTGAGCTGTTTCATTTCCATCATCAGATGACGAAGACTGGATTCTTTTTCGCTGTTTTTTCTTTTTTTCCTGTATTATTTTTGACGAACTGTGTCTATGTGTATGGTCACTGTCCGATTCACTATCACTTCCACTCATAATTCTCACTTCTGAAGTGTTATTAATGAAATAATTAAAAAATATATTTAAATGAACTTTTATTTCCTTATTTATTTTAACAATATTGTCGCTCGAACAACCTGAACGAACTGCCCTAAAATCTGTTACAATTCCTAATCTTTTGAATACACATGGCTAAGGGCCATGTGATGTTACATTTATTTCTTGGGCACAAACAGTATCGCGTTTCAAATTAATTGTCTTTTATGGTTGACTGGTGGTTGACCCATTTATTATGGTGTCACACTGGTGATAAATATGTCACTAAATAATATAGATGTTAACATTAGTCAGTATTGTTTTTAGCGCGTTGTATATACAATTTAAAACTAGGACAATCTTTATCATATGCTACATGATTTACATCATTTTTTAAATTATATTTTTGATTAGACTTTACAGTTACAACATTTTTTAACATCTTTTTTACAATCAGTTACCTTATCGTTACCTGCACAATATACACACACCACATTATTTCTACAGTTGCCTTCGCGATGATCATATGCAAAACATTATCTGCGACGGCGCACATAGATATCTTTGTACACAGGGCATCGTTCCCAACCACTGAATAATTTTCCTGCATCCATAATATTTTCAAAAAGTCGGCCAGAACATTCTGCGAAAATGGTATGGCGAGGTGTTTTATTTTTTGTTTCTGTTTTTCGTATATAAGTTAATTTAAAGTGATCATCAGGTTTAACAATTTAATTTTGTGATTTTATAATTTCTTCCAACTCATCATCTGCTAAAGGTGAGCTATAACTAATTATTTTTATTCTAGGCCTATTTATTTTTGATGTTTCAATTCTATACTTTGTACCAAGTTTAATTTGGGTTTCATCGACTAACTTCTGCATGCCTTGCTGGGTTTCACATTTAATTACAACATTTCCGTTTGTTAGGGTTTTATGGAGTTAATTGATGCATTAATTCTATTAGACTGTATATTATTTTGAATTTCTCTCATTGTAGATTCTGTGGTTTGTGGATTTATAGGTTTAACGATAACAGCTGGTATATGGTTTTTTAATTGTGTTGCAGCTACTGTTAAGACTGACTGCATCTGCAAATGTTTTCTTATTTTTCTCCAGTTCTTTGATCTTTTCATTGAGCAATTCAATAATTGTATTTTGATCTTTAATAATTGTTTCTTTATCCATTATTATTGTTTTATACAAATAAATAGTTTCACCTTGTCTACATTTGAAGCAATTGAATTTTAATGTACGTTTCTGTAATACAATACATCTTATTTCTGTAGACGTTAATTCTGAGCAGTCACCACAAATGTAAAATCTACAACTGTCACAGGCGAATACTGGATTTTTGGAGTCTTTTGGATTCCCTTTAAATTTACATTTTATACACTCAGTATCAATTTTAATTTTAATTATTGCATGATCCTCCAAAACGGTACTGCACTGGAATTTTTAATCGTTTTGTTCACAGAGTATTAGCTTATCAATATCTAGGTTTTTTGTAAAACTCAACAAAAAGTCGTTTATTTACCTGTTTATTGTCACTAAACTTGCATTTTATGCACTTTGAGGAGCACTATTTACAAAATGGAATATGCCAAAGAATAACTCATTATTATTGGATTATTTTGATACTAAAGTCAAAATAATTCGCGTAAAATAAACCGGCAAAATTTGCAAATTATTCGGAGCAATTTTTAAGCATGTGATTCAGATATACATACACGTAGACCTCGATACATTGTGTAAATGTAACTTATACAACAAGATTACTATTCCCAAAACCAAAAATAACCCAAAAATTTAATAATAATTAACCTAAATGTACAATAAAATTTAGTTGTGTTGAAAGTTACATGAATGAGACCTTACAAAGGGTCTTTAAAGCACAAAGCAACCTTACGAAGAAAGTCAATGGTTAAGGAAATTATAATAAAACAGGTGATACACTATATAATTAAAAACCAAATATTTATATATGTTCTAAGAGCAAAAAAACTGTATGCGAGGTAAAGAAAAACAAGAAAATTAATACCTCTATTTAGAGATCACTCCCTATCATAAACTTAACTTAAGATTCACTACCGGCATCCCATCTTCTTCCCTGCAGAATATCTGACGTTGAATTTACGACCACCTCCTGTGGCGACAATGAAAAAAAGATTAGGGCCGCTAGGCGAAACAATCCAAAAATTGATGGAACCTTGAAGGTCGATTTCCCGCAACCGCTAAATGGTTTCCAAGAGGTACTGTGTGGGTTTCAACCAGACACGTTACCAAACCTGAAGCTCGGGTTCCTACTTCCTTCCGGTCGTTATCCCTGGAGTCCGGAAAAGGTGGCGTGGCGCTGTGATAAGTAATAACAAATCCCCCATAAGGGTATAGTTGTACGAGCCACATGAACGGTACTACACCAACAAAATCAAAAGTACGTTCTCCCGCTGCAACCAGAAATAGGTAGTTCCAAGAATGGATCCGGGTACTTCCCGATGGAAACACATTTTTCCTTTTAAACCTACTGGACACCCAACTTACACAAAAGCGCACCAAAACACGTCTTCCTTGCTCAAACGATCGAGCTAGAGAGTTCTACCTCTCCTTCTGCGCCTCGCTACCGAAGTCCTAAAATTATTTTAGTCTTGACAGCATAGCTAAATAATTTACTTAAAACCCTAAACATTACCCATATTCCCTATTAAAAAAACTGTTTACCCAGCTTATAAGATCCAAAATATTAAATCAAAAATATTACAACATCCCTAACTAAATTAAAATAGACTATTACAAAATGATAGCTGAATGCGAACTCGGTAAGACACCGCTTCAGCCTACTAAGTAAAAGGCCATCCAATACCGAACCTATTTACAGATTAACCTAAGAGTCTACATACACTAAACTGTTAAGGCCTGCTTACAGTACCATTAACATAAAAAATTGTTGATAAATTTAAAAAGGAACTGTAACAAATCTAAATAAGTAATGATAAATATCTAGTTATTTATGCTGTTATCTTCTAAGTTAAGCATTCCTTTGTTAAATAACAACAGTAAGTCTAATAAAAACTTTCCGTTCTACACTTAACTTTTATTTAATGAAGAAATCATAATGGTCGTGGACAAAGTATATTATTTCACTCGCAATTTATGGCTGCCATAAATTGCTCGTTTAATAATATACTATTTAGTTACTGAGATATCAATTTGTTTCAAATAAAAACAAAAAATTTCAATTTCCTAAAATTGAAAATAAATTAAATTTATCACACCAGTTCAACTGTGTACTGAAAACCACGGAAATAACTTCGAGCAGTTAATGTGATACATTTAATTCATTTTTATTTTTAGAAAATTCAGATTCCTTTTAAAATATATTATCTCCGAAACTAAAAATATTTTTCATTATTAATCATTATTTGTCCTCGGCTATCATTCTCCAAATTTATGCGTATAGGTTAAGAATCACCCTGTATATAAAAGCGAAATATCACTCACTGACTCATCACGAGATCTTCAAAAATAAGCCCGATTGACTTGAAATTTGACAGACTTACTCCTTTCTCGACTTAGATTTTCACATTGTAAGGGGGAAAATAAACTAAATAAAAATAAATAAAAGTAATTAAAAATAAATAAAAATGAATGAATAAAAATAATAAAAATAATTAAAATGAATAAAAAAAAATGAAAATAAAAAAATTAAATTAAATAAAAATTAAAAACAAAATAAATTAAAATAAAATAAAAATGAATAAAAATATATATAAAAATGAATAAAAATAAATAAAAATAAATAAAAATAAATAAAAATAAATAAAAATAAATAAAAATAAATAAAAATAAATAAAAATAAATAAAAATAAATAAAAATAAATAAAAATAAATAAAAATAAATAAAAATAAATAAAAATAAATAAAAATAAATAAAAATAAATAAAAATAAATAAAAATGAATAAAAATAAATAAAAATAAATAAAAATAAATAAATAAAAATAAATAAAAATAAATAACAAAATAAATAATAAAATTAAATAATAAAATTAAATAAAAATAAATAAAAATAAATAAAAATAAATAAAAATAAACAAAAATAAATAAAAATAAATAAAAATAAATAAAAATAAATAAAAATAAATAAAAATAAATAAAAATAAATAAAAATAAATAAAAATAAATAAAAATAAATAAAAATAAATAAAAATAAATAAAAATAAATAAAAATAAATAAAAATAAATAAAAATAAATAAAAATAAATAAATAAAAATAAAAATAAATAAATCAAAATTATTAAAAATTAATAAAAATAAATAAATAAAAATAAATAAATAAAAATAAATAAATCAAAATTATTAAAAATTAATAAAAATAAATAAAAATGTGGAACTTTGACCGCCCTGGTATGAAAAATATGAGTAGTGAATTAATAAGAACGACTTCTTGATGTCCCGACACCCCGAAAGCCGAAAGACTGCTTTTCTGTGCTTGCTAAAGAGACAATCTAGTGATATTAGCAGATGGAAATCATACCAGAAATGTGGTATACAAAGAAATTCTTAATTGGATTAATATACTTAAATATTAGAATACTCCGTTAACTTTAATCTATAATACTATCACATACATACTATGAAACCTAAAAAACATATCGCTCTTTTTCTTTGGAAATCCGTGCATCTTTTTGTATTGAAAACCGATTCCATGCGTGCAAAGCCGCGGGCAACAGCTAGTACGGAATATCCGTGAAAATAGTCGATTTCTTATGTAGAATACACTTACCTATAACTAATTTATCGCTTTTTCTTTAATTGCAGCCAAACGAACACGCCGAGCTTTTTCTGCGTCCGACACGCCCGTCAGAACTGCCACCAGCAGACCGATCTGTCAGGTTAAAATAGATTGCGACCCGAACGACTCTTTTAAATTGCTTAACGACGGTTCCAACTCAGCCGTGAAATTGACGTTGAGAAAGAAACGTAGTGCCAGCGTCGACATAGCTCCCACATTCTCCCGCCAGGTGACGCTGAAACGTAATGAGTCGACAAACGAAGTTAAAGAGAAGAGCGGCGACAGAAGGGCGATGTCCGTGTCGAACATGCCTGTGATATCGGAAGAGACGCCCGATGGGCAGGCGAGGACGCCCAGGAAGGCTAAGAGCACTGCCAACTCATACACGTCTGCACGAAGGTTAACTAGGCGACAGGTGAGAATTTGAAAATATTTTAAATATTGTGACGAACTTGATTGAACAAAACATACGCAAAATATATAGTTTATTACCTGTCGCACCTCATTAAATCATACAAAGAGTTTAGTAACTTGCTAATTTATAAATTTTCTGATTGAAACTTACTATATTATAATCAGCTAGACTGCTAGAGGCACGTCACAATTAGAAGTGGACAAAATAATCCATTATTAGGCGATTAATTTTAATTATGCTTCACATCGTTGTTAGTGGAAATAAAGATAACCATTTAGTATACCTATGTTACGCCGCTGACACACATGTTCAGATTTAAAATTTATTATATATCGCTGCCTGCCTAAATTACTCATTACTAATTTTTGTGTCGCGTGATTCACATCGTTCAGACCGATATTCCACCGATTATAAAAACATGGGTAAAAACTATCGAAAACGCAAATCGTCTCAGAAATATGATAAATTAAAAAAGAAATGAAGAAATTCAGAGCACAGGTAGGAAAATAATATTTTTCTTTTTATTTAACTGATTTTTAGCTTGCAGAAGATACCACTTTATGTGTAAATTTCTGCATTTAGACGATAAATAAATATACAAAGGATACTACTTTATGTGTTAACGGTGCAGTCATTCATAAAATCCGTCTGCAAAACGAAAAATGCTACTTAATGTTCAAATTTCGCAAAACCTTGATGAGGGCAGATACTACCTTATGTGTAAATTCTGCATTATAGACAAAGACATGTACAGAGAAGGCTACTTTATGTGTTAACTCTGATCTTATACTAGTACAGTTTTGAGAATGTTTTTCTTTATCATTTAATTTATTTTTAGCTTGCAGAAGATACTGCTTTACTTTAAATTTCCGAATTTAGAAGACATATAAATATACAGAAGATACATCATTCATATGACCCGTATGCAGAGCGAAAAATGCTACTGTATGTGCAAATTTCGCAAAACTTGTGTGGCGGAAGATACTACTTTATGTGTAAATTCTGCAAATAAATATATGTACCGAGAAGGCTACTTTATGTGTTAACTCTGATCTTATACTCATAAACTGCAAACTCGGCTAACTGAAATTTGAAAAATGCTACTTAATGTGTACATTTTGTAAAAAATTTCGGTAGAGAAGATACTGTCTTATGTGTAAGTTCTGCATTTAAGCCAAATAAATGTACATAGAAGGCTACTTTATGTGTTAACTCTGATCTTATACTTATAAATTGCAAACTCGGCTAATTGCAACGCGAAAATGCCTCTTATTATGTAAAGTTTGTAAAACTTGGTCAAGGAATATACTATTTTTTGTAAATTCTGCGTATTATTGCAAAATAAATGTACAGAGAAGGCTACTTTATGTATTAACTCTGATCTTATACTTAGCCCAGCTAACCGCAGCACGAATAATTCTAACTTTATGTGTAAATTTCGCAAAACTTTGGCGACGAATACATTAAATTCATCATCTTCACCAGAACATAGACGTTCAAATAGCAAGGATCAAATTCAGTATCAGGATATTCTGGGAGCCGATCCTAATAGCAACACCTCTCTTAGAAAACCAATCAACGAAGAAAAGGTAAAAAGTTGGGAAAATATTTGCAAGACGGTTTGGAGAATGGAATAATAATAATAATAACGATTTTATTGATACAGGCATTTTCAAAACATTAAAATACATAACTTAAAATATGATAAATACAAGGTATCCTGTAGAGCAACAGGCAAAGTTCGCTTTCTTCAATCTGAAAAAAAAAATCCGAATGAAGAAGAGCGTTCTTCCACTTAACCTACAAAAAAGTATACATTATATTATACATTAACTAGATACATAATTTTTTTTACCAATAAACTAATTAAGCAATATAAAATATTATATAATATAAAAAATTTGAGCAATAATTAAAAATTAGTCATAAACAAAAAACTGAAACAAGTAACTGACAAATTCACAACTCCATGTACGATATCAAATTCATCATGTTTAGATAGGCAAACTGTTACTCAGAATTAGATGTTTTAACCTTTTTTTAAAATTAACCAATGATAATGATTTAAGAAAATTAGGTAGAGAGTTATAATACTGGGATATGCAATAGGAGAAGGAGGATTTAAAAAGAGCAGTTCTGTGTTTGGGAATGGACAATGATTTAGTAAATCTGAGGTTTAGTGAGTGTGCTTGATATCGAAATTGGACTTTTTTATAAAGATATGTTGGAATTTTAGTAACAATTAATTTGTGGTAGAAAACGCAGCAGTGGAGGAAACGCCTTTGTTTTAAATTAAGCCAGCCGATCTGTTTTAAACTAGGTGAGATTCTATTTCGTCTACGAATCCCACAAATAAGCCTAACGCACGAGTTTTGAACCAGCAAAGTTTCTTTGCGAAAACAAAATCTGAAATACTTTCACTTGGGTCCCCCACCTTAAACCCCGAACCAAAAAATTTGGTGATTAGTCACGTCATCAAATAAAATCGACAGCTATTTGTATATGCGTCTTACAGCAACTTGAAAGGTGATGGGAAGTTTAGCTGAACCTCTGTAAGCTAGGCTTGGAGGAAACAGAAATAGATGCATCAAAACAAATGCAAATGTAACAAAAGTATTACCAGATATCTACCATAGAATATAGGCATCGTAGGCACCTTATATATATATATATATATATATATATATATATATATATATATATATATATATCCGTCTTTAAACACAAATGTGAAAAATATGATAGAAAAAGCAGATATCGATGGTTTTTCATTTTGGAAAGAATCTTATAGAGATATGAAAGGCAGACAAAGCATTTGGAAAAACTGGCATACATTTAAAGTAAACAACAATTTCATTCAGTGCTTAAACTTCAGGCGCCTACTTTTAAATAGCGACTGATGAACCAGGCCAGAAAAAGAGCGGGAAAAATACAAAACCCAAAGGACGAACCAACCAGTATTCAGAAAAACAAGAGAGGGGAGAAGGAGTTATTAGGGAAGTAAATAAAGGTAAGAGAGATTGTTGGTAGACTGAATAAATTTGTAAAACATGTGGTGTTACGTACTAAAAGTCTCATACCTTATATATAATTTTTATTAACAATTTTATTATTCTAGAATAGAATAATTAGTTTTCACAAAGAAATGACCAAGGGCCCAACTATTTTAATATATTTTTATATATCTATTTTGAGATTCTTCAACTGTAGCTATATTTCATCTTCAATTAACTTTTCCTTGATACCTGGTTTACCTAAAAATAAACGAATTAAACCTAATATCTAAATATTTTAGTAAATAAGTAAATATAACCTTAAATTATGTTTTGATTCCTCTTTTGTTACTTTTATCATCGTCTGTCAAATTTTCTTCTCACAGAACCATAAAACATAAATTATTGGAAAAATACCATGACGTCATGCACAGTTCAGTGTAGCCAATAGTGCAAAAGAATAATTTTCTAGATTCTCGCGGAATAATTTGGTTTAAAGTCCATAAGGAAAAAACTATCAGTTTTCTTTTTCTTTTTGGATAATTTGCTTTGAGATGCAACCACGTTTTCCAAACCTCGCATTTTTGCGGATATTTACCGAAATCTCCGATTATTTTATTTAATTTCGATATTAGGGATAAAGTAACTAATATCACATTTTGTGAATCTAAAAGAAATAATTTATTTGGAGAATTCAATTATCAAATTCGCTTCAATTGAAGCCACGTTTAGGCCCCCTGCCAACCAAGGTGAGTCTATTGATTGAACTATTCTATTGTACCTTATATTTCTTTAGATGATGCTTTACCAAGTTATATTATTTTTAGGTCTTTTTCCTTTATTCAGTTTTACTTTTACCTTTGGCACCTAAAACTATATCTGGGTAGATAGTTCCCATTAAAACATCTTATTTAATTGAAGAGATCATACTGTATTGACGCCTATAAGAACTCAATAATACCAATCGAAGCCCTGTAAGGTTCTGGAGAGAAGCCGCCCTTCTGGAAAAAGACAGATAAGCCTTAAAAACTTTAATTTGTTTTTTTTTTATTATTATTATTATTCGAGTCAGTGATTAAAGTATATTTTATATATTAATTTGCCAATTTGCTGATAATTCATTCATATGTATATTAACTTACCAATTTGCTGATAATTCTTTAGAAAATAGAACTTTAAACCTTCTTAATAGGTCAAACTTGTGATAAGGACATTAATCTGAGCCTGAAACAAAATAGAACATAATTATTAAAAACATTCAAGACAAACTATTCATTGTTAAAGATATTTTACAAGTAATCCTTTTTATGGTTCTTGTTAAACTTACCTGCGAAAATTTTGTAAATATAAATACGTATTTATATCAATATCTTCCAAATGTTTCATTCTTATTGCTAAAAGAAATTTGAAAAATATAATAATCGGCCTGATTGAAAGAAAAGAACTCCTGCAGTAGCTTTTATCTGCTAACCTTCGAATCCTTCCTGAGATTGACCCTTCCTGGCTTTGAAAAGGCCTTTCCTTAGTACCCTGAGGCAAAGTAGCCGTAACAGTGGGCTAACTTAACTAATGATAAGAAGGTCCTAAGATATGTTAAAGGTTTTAAATTAATCTTTAAAACATAAAAGAGCTTTCACCAAAGGATGTTTTCTCTTAGAGAAAAACTAACCTACACACTTCAATAAAAAAAAAACGTACTAAATAATGCAACAGGTGTTTGCTTGCTAAAGAAAATTAGTTTGGTTCTCATATTTTTTAAGACCCAAATGAAATGATTCATCTAGATTCATTTTTAACAAATATATAGATCCTCGCATTTCAAACTGGAAGATCTCAGGTCTGCCCAGAATATTTTGTTACAGGACAATTTTATGTTAAAAATTAAATTATAGGATGCCTCTTATCTCATCACAATACATAAAAAATTAGAAAAGTACAAATTTGGTCTGACCATTTGCTCCATATGTTTTTGCAAACACTTTAAAATTGGTAGTGCATCAACTAAGG